TGCCCGCCCCCGCCGCTGCAGCTGAGGGTCTGGTGGGTGCATCCCACTGCCCTTGTCCAACACGGTCTGTCTGACAGCTCTGCTTGGTGGCATTTGAGATGGGTGATGTCTCGGGTGGCTGCCGTTACCGTCCGACAGCTCTACCTCACCCTCAAGCAGAAAACGCGTGTCACCCCTGCGGACCGTGAGGGATTTCCACGGGACACCCGAGCTCTCTTACGGCTTGCTGTCCCCAGCGGCATACCCCACGCGTTCCTTGCTCTTCTGCTGCCTGATCCTTCCGGGAGCTGATTTAGCTGAGCACATTCTCCCTCTCCCTGCTCCCCTTAGCTTTCTGCCGGTTCAGGAGCTAAACTGGCTCAGGGAGGTGTTGGGGGAGCAGGATTAGGCCAGGATGCTGCCTGACCCGTCTGACAGCAGCTTAGCCTATTTATGAAGACACCTTTTCATCAGCAAGTGCTTGGTTTTCCAAGCATTAAGCATATGAACTCTCTCCATTGGATCAGAAACTGTGACCAAACTTTTTTAAGAAGTCTCATTTAGACAAATACTCTCCTTTCCCTTCCCCTGGAGCTTTGGTCTCTGTCCCTAGCCCAGCCTCTTTGGAAGAAGTGGCTTTACAGCTCTCTCCTTCTATGCTGGAGGGGCAAAACACAACTCTGATTGTGCGTGAGCTCTGTTTGCAAGAGAGAAGTCTTGTTTCTTCTGGGTTTTATCCCCCGATCGTGGTACATTTGGATGAAGGCTCAGTCATGGATCCTCACTGTAACGATGGGATCGAGCCTTGCAGGGGAGATTGGACTCTTCTTAGAGCATCTGTGCTAACCGCTTCCTTCTCCTGTGTGCTCCAAGGCCTACGAAGAATGCAGCACAGAAGATGAAAAACTACATCTGCTGAGTGACATCCCGGTGAAATCGGACGTCGGCAGGAAAGACCGTCGCGTTGGGCCAGACTTATCCCGCCGCATCTACCTCTTCATGGTATCCACCGACCCCGACCTTGTCCTGGACCTGAGCACGTAGAGGGACTGCGGGCCGCGTCGCTCATCCGCCTTGATTTATCCGCCAAGGCTCGGCAGTGGCCGGGCTGCTGCTGGCACGGCACCGCCGCTGGGAGCCCGGCCAGGGGAAGCAGCTGATTCTGTTTCAGAACAGAGACCTGCACATCAATAAATGTCTTGTTACAGATGCTTTCTTCAGCCTCTTGGCTCTCCTTTCCTCTTTTAGCTGCCCCAGCTTTCTATCCCCTGGCTGGAAAGCAGGCTGTCCCCTAAGAGAGCTGAGGAACGCTTGGAACAGGGGCTGGATGCAAAAGTGTTAGCAAGCTGTCCTGGAGCAGCGCAGGATCAGCTCCCCTGAGAGTGCCGTGGGGTGAGCCTGCCCCGCGCTGCCTTTCAGGGCAGTTGTTGAACCGGCCACGTATCTTCTGTGGTGCCTCCTGACCTTTAATGTCCTGCTCCCCGCTGGCTCTTTGGTGAGGCTGGACCTGGTGCTGTAGGTCCTGCTCGTGGCCTGCTCGGGCAGGCGGGTCCTGCTGGAATCACTTCAGAAAACGTTTGCCAACTGTCAAAACCAGCTGGCCGGGGAGGAGCCCCGTCCTCGAGTAACGGGGAGCTCATTCAGGGGAGGGCAGTTTGTTGGCTGAGCTCCCAGCAGAGGGAAATGCCAGATAAGCTCCAGAGAACTCCATGCAAAATGGTGGGTTAGGAGAGGATTCTCTTTCCCCAGAGCAAAGGCTCAGGTTTTTTACTCAGAAACAGCGGGGGTCAGGGACCCCCCAGTGCCTGAGGTTTTGGTATTGTTAACTAGGGCCTTCCATGACGACACAGAAACCCCCCCGAACTGTGGCTCGCTGGCCCGAAGCAAGGCCAACTGGTGCCACAGGAGCAGGGGGCCACCCTCCGAACAAAGTTCCTCCTTGCCAGGGATTCTTCTGCCTCCATCTGCTGATATTTGAATTAGTTCCTAGGGAGGAGCAATCCAGCGAGGCTGGGGTTTTTTTCTGACTGCAGCGCCGACACGGATTGACAGAGCCTGTCCTGCTGCATTAAGGTTCTCGTGCAAAGCCTCTCACCAGAGACACGAGAGCCATCTTTGCTTAAAGCTTGGTGGGGTGGGAAGGAAAGGCACCAGGGTTGTGGGGCTCAGCAGTTTTTGTGGTCAAAAGAGCTCTGCCGCAGCCTCGGCAGGTCGGTAACAGGAGCAGGGGGAACGGCAGCAGCTGGAGCTCTGCGTTCCCAGTGACCGTGCTGGGAGGAAACCCAGGGAAAGGATAGGTAAAAGCCATCTCTTTCAACCTTCTGCTTTCCAATGCCCTTTGCACTTGGCTGATCATAGAATAGAATCATGGAATTATTTAGGTTAGAAAAGCCCTTTAAGCTCCCCCAGCCCAACAGTTCCCCTACCCCTGCCATCCCACCCCCAAACCCTGGCCCTCAGCACCGCCCCTGCCCGGCTGTTAAATCCCCCCAGGGCTGGGGACTCGACCCCTTCCCTGGGCAGCCCCTTCCCGTGCCTGACAGCCCCAAGGAGCGATGAGGGCTCCCCTCAGCCCCCTCTGCTCCAGGCTGAACCCCCCCAGCTCCCCCAGCCGCTCCCCAGCAGCCTGGGGCTCCAGACCCCTCCCCAGCTCTGTTGCTCTCCCCAGACATGTTCCAGCAGTAGTCGCTTGCCCAGGCTCTAACCCAGCATTTCCCCTCGGGCTGACCGAGGAGCCTCAGCGAGGGGCCGCACTGCGCACAGACGCCGATTCGCAGGCGCGGGGCTGGGGGTTTGGAGTCCTTTGGCCCAGCACAACCTGCCAGAGGACGGGTGCTACAACACCCTGCAGCCACAGGCATCAGTCTGGCTCCGCTGAAGATCCATCCCAGCTGGAGGGGTGTCTCAGCGAGAAGCACGAGCACCCTCCGCGGGGCAGAGGCAAGGTAATCGCTGCTGCCTTTACCTCCTCTAGGTCTGACAAACAAGCGCTGCCTTTAAAACAGCCCCGCCAGGCTGGTAGCTGCCCTGGCCTGGCTATTTTTCACAAGTGCCTTCGGATTCCTGCCTTCAGGGGCCATAAGAGGAACCAAAGACCGTTTCTACTTTTATTATGACAGTTTAATACAGTCTCTGATACAGGAGAAGCAGCGGGAGCCAACATGCAAAGCAATGAAAGTCATGGGGGGCTCGAGAAAGATCACCGGCAGCTCAGCTCGTGTAAGTAACTGCTCTTTCTCCACAGTGACGCAGGC